TCGCCTCGCGCGTCGGCGGGAGTCGACGCAGACCCGCATGCGAGGCACGCCGCCGCGCTCCCCCGGACATCCGTCCCGCAGCCTCCCGGGAGCACGTCCTCGCGCGCTGTAACCACGCCGACGACGGATTCCGGTGGGTCGCCGATTCGTCCCGTCCCTCGGACATCGTCGGGAGGGAATGCGACGTGGACGTTCTTGCTGTCCTCGAACCCCGCAGCAGCGTTGTCGCACGCGTACGTCGGCGGGAGCGACGATGCCCCGCCGCTCGTGCCGTCGTACGTTCGCGCGGTCCCGCCCGCCTCGCCGCCGCCCTCGTCTTCCCCACACGTCACCATCAGTTGGAATTCCGGCTCCGTCTTGATGAACAGGCTGTGGACACGATCGCCGGCATCCGCAGACGACTCCGCCCCGTTCGCCATCGTCTCGTTCTCAAAGTCGGTGGCAGGTCCTCCTCCCGCGCCACGCGCGTCGCCGCTTCCCACACGCGTCCGATCCGCGGCCGGGGAATCGCCATCGCCGCTCGATGCCGGCGCGTGTCCGCTCCCCGCGGCACGGGCCGCCCCCTCGCAGATTGTCGGCGCAGCGTAGACCGCCCGGCCTCCGATTTCCTCGTGGCCGTAGATCTTCTCGCGGCATATCTCGCTCCCGGCGACGTCGCTCACGGTCGGCCACGCGTCGTCGACGAGTCCACCCGCGGCGACCGTGGTGCTCTCGAACGCGGCCGCGTCCGTCCGACCATACGTGCGGCCGCCGCGCAGACTGATGCCGGTCCCCGCCGCTGCGGTGGAGTCGGGGTCCGGGTTCTGGCCCTGCGAGATGAGGACCTTGCAATGGACGTCGCGAGAGTGCACGTAGAAGTCGGCCTCTCCGAAGAAGCACTCGTTGCACGACGTGCAGCGAAAGTACATGACGAACGGAGGCGGACCGCTCGCCATGGCGACCGGAGATGTGAGCAGTAAGCTGTGCAGCGTCGGCAGCGTCATTGTGACGTATTTTTGCTGAATCGAGCATGCAACAGTGGTCTAACGCCTGACCTTCTTTGCAGCCAACTTTCAGTGTATACCTACGTACTGTGTGTAATGACAATGACAATTTGTTCGTGCCGACTGCAGTGTTGAAGTGTCAATCGCGGTAGAGATACGTCT